AAAGGAAAAGGAAAAAAAAAAGCGCTTGCTTATATGCAAGGGCTGACTCGATCGAACAAATCCCGAAATGGTCGAAAGACACGTGGACGACGGATATAACAGCAGAAGGCAAGGCCCATTCGATGCAGCTTCTTGTTCCTCTGTTCTTTCTTTTCTTTTCTTTTCTTTTCTTTTCTTTTCTTTTCTTTTTTCTTTTTTTTTTGTTAAGGAAAGGGCGACGGCCTCATCATTGAACTGACCGGCCCCCGGCAAATTCCGAATGGTCCTATTCTTTTTTTTTTTTTTTTAACCTATATTCCTCTCTCAATTTCACCTCACAGGCTCACACTACCTACCTTGTATGATCCTATTCTTTTCATCTTGAGGGGGTATCTGGATTTCAACGTGAACGTGAGTCTGTCTTTCAACGGTTCAGGGGAAAAAAAAAAAAAAAAAAAAAAAAAAAAAAACAATTCAGGGGACAGGAAGCGAAACCACATCTCGTTAGCAACTGCCCTACAGTCTTCCCCCCAATACAACGCACGGTCGTTATCGCCAAATTTGGTCTATCTTTCAGTCTAAATTCAGCTATAATGACCGTACGTCGTATTCGGGGGAAGACGGTCATTATCGCCGAATTTGGTCTATCTTTCAGTCTAAATTCAGCTATAACGACCGTGCGTTGTATTCGAGGGAAGAAGGTAGGGGCCGTTGGTACCTCTGTTCGTTTTTACAATTCACAGCAAAGATAATCATTCGCTGTGAGACGAGGTCTTTTTCGCTGACCAACAGACCAACGACAGGACGTTTCGGGTAAAAAAAAAAAAAAAAAACAGCCGACCAACCAGTAATGCTTGGAGCGTATTCAGTTTTAACGGTTGACGCCTCCGTTTATCGTCATCAGCCACGGCGGAGAGCAACGGATTCCGACAGAACCAGGAATGACTCCGCCACCAAAGAAAGAGTTAGTCCGCTCTCTCTCTCTCTCTCTCTCTCTGTCTCTGTGTGTGTGTGTGTGTGTGTGTGTGTGTGTGTGTGTGTGTGTGTGCGCGTGCGCGGACTGAGCTTGAGAGAGAGCTTTTCTTTTTTTTGAGAGAGAGAGATCTTCGCTTAGGAAGGAGGGGAAAATGAGAGAGAGCTTTTCTTTTTTTTGAGAGAGAGAGATCTTCGCTTAGGAGGAAGGAGGGGAAAATCTTCTCATATTTTCGTCTTTACTCTCTTTCTTTTCTTTTTTTTTCTTTTTTTCTTTTCTTTTTTTTCTTTTTTTTCTCCCTTTCCTTCTTCCTCCTGACTGAGTCCTAGCCTTGTCACCCTTCCTTACCTGCGGTCTTGGGGACAGCTTCCACACGGCGGGCCAAAGGCGTTTGAAGTTTAAACCCGAATAACCCAGCCGCTCGGGTCATGGAGGGGGTAAAAAACAAAAAAAAACACCTACCACTCCTACTACTACCTAAGGAGGCAAGGCTGCACGCCTCACCCACATTCTTCGTTTCCGATTAAAAAAAAAAAAAAAAAGGGAAAGGTAGGGGGCTGTCACAGTTTCAGTTTGAAAATGCGTTTCAGTCACGATTTCGCGAATGTTGTGCCAAACGGCGAAAAATCGCGAATGTATACAACCCACCTTTAGGGTCGGGTGGGGATGTGTCCTATTCGAGAGAAGCCTGAGCTGGATTTAACGACCGGCTGGCTTCAATCTCCATTGATGGGAGCCTGGTAATCAGTAGGCGGCTAGAGTACGGGGACTCTTAAGACACAGTCGTTTAGCAGAAGCCATTCTGGGACCTGGTGGGGCCACGGATGAATGACCCACCCACCCCAGTTGGTAACTGGGTAAGGAATGGCGGAGTTGAGGGTAGGTAGGAGCAGTTAGGCATTTATCCCCGAACCAGGACGCTCGGTTTGGGACCGGTCTCTGTTCGGACCGCGGGAGGTCACTCAGGGGTGGGAGGTGGTAGAGTGTCACGGGTACTGGGAACTGGGGTAGAGACCGGTCTCAGGGTTAGGCCTTCCCGAAAGAGTTAGGGATTTCGGGCGGGAGTAGGTTCTTGAGATAGGCAAGTGGGAAGTAGGGCTGGTAAATGTTGATCCTTGGGCGAGTTCGCTAGCGAATGTTTGGTTCCACTGCTGTGGATGCTAGCGTGGCTGGTTGAATTTAGTTAGGAAATAAGGGAGGAGAATCTTCCAGTGGCTAGGAGTTGTAGGAGCTCGGTTCTGTGGGGGAGTGTAGAATGACTGTGATTACTGTGAAAGTTGCTACCAGAAGCCAAATCGGCTGATGCTGCCGAGAAAACTCCGGGGTGAATTGTGAGGTCCCCGGCCTCTTGTCGATGATATTGATAATCAATAAGTGAAGGTAACGGATGTACCGGAGGACCTTGCTCTTCGTTTCGAGTAGAGTAGTTTTCAACGTGGTCACGGTGCGGCCGTGAAATTTTCATGTCGGATGATACGAAGCCGCGTATACTCCAAATCAAGCCTAAACCCCGGCTACCGGTACCGGTAGTGAGGCATGGCCCGGGGCCAAGTACCACTTAGTACCCTGATTCTTCATTCCTGGCAGCTGATCTTCGTAATCTACGGTCAGAAGTTGAGATTTCGGGTACTGAGTGGGACTTGGCCCCCGGAGAAGTGGGGCCTTCTCTCGTGTTAGGTTCGCCATTTCCGGCCGTACGTTTCGAAGACGATTTTTTTGGGGGGGGGTAGGGGGTAACCAGGGCGCAGTCACGATTTCAGTTTTAAGAGCCCAAGTGTTCCGGAACCAGGCAATCCCTTCTCGTCGCTTCCCCTGATTTGTCCTTCTGGTCCAGTCTGCCCAAATGGCTTTCACTACCAACGATCTGAACAGTGCTTCGGCCTGTCTCTCTGGTAGCCCTTCCCCTTTGAACCTCAATCCGTTTCTGTCCAACCAGATAACCCATAGCATCGCTGCCCTGGCAACTTGTGCCACATAACCCCACCCCTCACAGCTGCTTTGGGACTAGGAGAGCCCTCCCAATAGAACCCATCTCTGATCAATTATCGAGTCGTTCCCAGTTATCCACCGCCAATACTTCTCCCACCAGCCCCACCACTTCCGTGACTTCGGGCATTCCCACCGCAAGTGACTCATCGTCTCCTGCGCCGCCTGACATCTGTCACATGTGGAGTTAACGTCGGGACTGCCAGGTGAGACTGGAGCCAAAGTAGTGACGCCAGTTTTTGAGATGGGAGTGCCTTCAGTTGTGCCCACAATCTGGAGAGCTCTGATTCCGAGGGAGGAGATAATCCCGACACCACTCTCACCCAACGGTTTGCTAACTTACCTCTCTCACCCAACGGTTTGCTAACTTAGTGCACAACGGGGCTGACATTGATCTTCTTTTCAAGATCAAGGATGCAGACAGTTTCTCCAGCCCTCTGATGACTTCGCCTTCCACCTGCCAACCCCAATCTGCGGGGTCGATCTTTAGTTGGCAGTGCGGGATCCCATTGCCAACCAAGCAAGGGACAGGGGGGAGGCCCTCCTGCGGGGGGGGGTCTCATAGCNAAAAAAAAAAAAAAAAAAAAAAAAAGCCAGACAATGAGGTCTAGTCCTGACTCCTGATCCAGTCAGATGAATATAATGAAGTTGGGGGCCACCGCCAATCAGATCGTCTGACCCGGGTTTTCCCAATGTGGACTTTTGTCGCGCGCCAATTCCTTCCGAACAGCCACAAGACATGATTTGCCTGACAAGGCCAGCCTTTTCTGTCCAGCAGGCCTGACATGACCTGCAATTTAGCGACGGGTTAACTGGCGCGTTGGAACAAAATAGCTGGGAATCAACTGGTGGCTTAAACCACCACTACCACGGAGTCTTTTTTTTTGCTGAGGCAGAAAAGAACTACGTGACAGCGTGTCAAGCTTTGCCGACGCGCCAGCACGGCGTTTTTCCGTTTTGCTTTTCGCTGGAACCACCAGCCATTCGGGTCCGGCTGGTAGCACTGTTCAGCTGAAGAATCCGGAATGTCACATTTTCAATTCTCAGCGTTGCCTGGGAAAGCTAGTGGTGGTTTAAGCCACCAGTATCTTTCCCATGTGTCGGCTGCGGGCACTGCGCGCCGGCCCAAAAATCAAGAGAGGCCGCCGATTCGATTTATCGGCGGCCGCCCTTCCGTTTCAGGCCGGTGCGTTACCCGGTGCGCCGCTGAAAAAATAGCTGGGAAAGGTACTGGTGGTTTAAACCAGAGAGAGAACACCACCAAGCTACTACCGTAGTACACCGCAAAAAAAAAAAAAAAAAAAAAACGCCAACGAAGCCCAATTACGTGCAGCCTTTGTGGAATTTAGTAGTTAGCCACGAAGTTTCATCTTCCCTAAAAACTTACAGGCACATCTGATTCATGATATGGTGGATTTTTTTTTTTTTGTGCAGGGGGGGGGGGGGGGAAGGTGTCTGTGCTGTCTCTTATACACATCTAGATGTGTATAAGAGACAGCACTTAGGGCGGGCACCACTGCAACCGGGGCCCCTTAGGCCTGCCGAGGACCCAAATCCTCGCAGAAAGAAAGAAAAGAAGAACAAGGGTGTCACTCCGCTACTCTCGACATGCAGAAAAGGCCAAAAATATGGCAATGTAGCTTGCCAGGTCTTAGACAAGGATTCAGTCGCACTTTGACAAAGTTCTAGTAGTGGAGGGAGGGAGGCCCTACACCCCCGCTACTGTAGTGGGGATGGACACCGCTAATACGTCGGTAGCAGTAGCCTCTATCGACAATACAAATAATGTCCATTCATACTATATCGTCAAACAGAATATACGTTGTGGATATCGTCAAACAGAGCTGCCCGGTAAACCGTAGGCAGAGAGGGAGAAGAGGACAGCAAACAAACGAGGGGCTATGACGATTTGAAACTGTTTCGTCGGAGTTTCACAGACTCATCAGCTGAGGGGCTTAGAATTGAAGAAATCACCGCCAACAACCTGCCCATGTGGCTGAATGGTACACACATGATGGGCCTGTTAAACCAACCAGTACTTGGCCCAGCTATTGGCCGCGGGAAAAAAGAGAGTAGAAACGTTTCTAGTGGGATGAATTTGGGCGCTCCTGTAGTAGCCCCTAGGTTTCCTAAAATCGTGCCCGCGTTAACGGGCACTACTCTAGGAAGTACTGGTGGTTTAAACCACCAGTACCTTTCCCAGCCAAATTTTCAGAGTAGCGGAAGGCATGCAGCCCCTACCCATGCAGGGGCCTACTCTCCGGAAACACAGGAGTGCCATTTCGTTGGATATCCACCCAGGCAAAACGGGTTGCATGCAAGGCCCTAACTCTTGGAAAACACACGCGGTGCCATTAAGTGGGTGCCATTTTGTTGGATATCCACCCACTACAGGCAAAACGGGTGGCATGCGAGGCCCTTACTCTTGGGAAACACAGGGTGGGTGCCATTTAGTTGAGTATCCGACAAAACGGTGCGCCCAGATACACGCAGCTGCATGCACGCCAGGGCTCTTAGACTTAAAAAAAATGGCCGGGAAACCTACTGGTGGTTCAGGCCACCAGTACGTTTGGCACTTCCCTTGTCGAGCCTGGAAAGCCCTGTGCGCCCAAGAAAACGGATTGGCGCCGTGGTCTTTTGGCTGGTGGCGTCAACCATTTTGCTCTGGCGGCGCCAACCAGTCGCTGAAACTTGCAGCCGCATGCATGCATGTTGTGTCAGGGGAAAATGGCTGGGAAATGTACTGGTGGTTTCATAAACAGACAACGACTCCTCCCCCCCCC